GCATGGCGGGGGAGCAGTGAGCAGGATGTAAGGTGAATTAGTAAAATAAATAAATAAATAAATAAATAAATAAATAAATAAAAATTACACTATAAAAGTAAACAGAAAGCCGGGTAGTGGTGGTGCACGCCATTAATCCCAGCACTTGGGAGGCAGAGGCAGGCGGATTTCTGAGTTCGAGGGCAGCATGGTCTACAGAGTGAGTTCCAGGACAGCCAGGGCTACACAGAGAAACCCTGTCTCGAAAAACCAAAACAAACAAACAAACATATATATATATGTTTGTCTTTTAAAGGAGGAGGGTGATTTCCTCGAGGCACTACCGCTGTGCTGGAAGATGTTTCTGTGGACGCTAGAGGGCAGCCTCCGCCCATCCAGCTCTCCGTAACGGTGCTCACAGAACCCAGCACCACGCAGCACACTTCAGCTTGTGGGAGGCAGCAGGCACAGCAGGGTAGGGTTCGAGAGAACCACCACCTTCGACTTGGAGAGCGCCCTGGAAGTGGAAGTTGACAGGGTATTGGGATCTGAGGTTGGGAGCTTACAAGTGATATGCAATGTCAGTAGAGCTGGAAGCTGGAGTGGCCTGAAAGTGATACTGGTGCATTCACAGACATGGGGGCCCTAGGCCCGACTTCCTCCGAATGCAAGAAGGGGGATCTGACTTGGCATCCTTAGATCAAGAGGTCAGAGGTCATGGGGACAGAGAGTAGAGGTGCAAGGTGCACAGGGATGGGCTCACTGCACACTACCCAGGTCCTTCATCCTGCCGCTTGTCTTTCCCGAGCTTGTTACAGTTTTGTTGGTGCTGTACACCTGTATCTCATCTGGATTCTAGATCAACCAACAGGCATAAGTTAACTCGACTCTGTCATGTACCTGTGCACCAAGATCTGCTCTATTTTGGTCCATGAATGGCTGAGGCCTGCTGTGACAAGTGTAAACCACACAGATGAGCTATAAGGACACTGTCTGTTTCAGAGGTAAACTATAGCCAACTTTCCATCATGCCAGAGCCGATTTTGCACAATGCTTCCAACCTGCATTGAAATTAGCTGTGGTGGGGAATGATGGTGAGCCATCTCTTCAGCCTATTAGTCCTGGCTGTTTGTTTTTAATTATCACCTCTGGCTGACATTTCAACTGCAAGGGCAACTGTCTACCACTCTGTTTTTGCAAGTGTTTTAGTGACTCCAGGTCTCAGGCATGTCCCTAATACTCTAAATCAAGAAACTCTGGTGGGGCTGGAGAGATTGCTCTGCAGTTAAGAGAACCGGCTGCTCTTTCAAAGATCCGGGGTTCAGGGTTCAGCACCTACATGGTGGCTAACAACCACATGCAACTCCAGTTCCAAGAGATCTGATGCCCTCTTCTGGCCTCCACAGGTACTTCATGTACATACATATATAAACACGGTCTTGGGCATTGCATGGATACACACACACACAAGCACCATATGTACACACACGAGTTCAAAAGATAGCACACTGTTATGAAAGAGAAAGAATCTGAAGCAGCAAAGCAGACGCAGGGCAGAGGGAATATTGATGCAAAGCCACACCCTAAGAGCAAGGCAGGATGGTGCACTTGGGGAAAGGTGAGCCAAGGTGGGAATAAAATCAGTATGAAGTCATGCTGAGACCCTAAGGAAATACAGTGTACCCTAGAAAAACACACAACAGAGAGGCATATCGAGACATCTGCAAAGACATACTTTATATGCTTAAAATGTTAGGGAAGGGAGAAGACAGGTGCTGACATACCTTCAAAGATTCTGCAGAATTTCTCTGGGTAGTTAATGGCTTCAGACTGAGAGGCCTACTTTATTTCTTGAGAGTGGGTCTGAAGTTATCTCATGACTTGTCTTTGGCAGGATTCTCCTTGCATAGAATTATGACTGCTAGCCATAGCTATAGTGGGACGTTTGACATCAGGATGAGTCGAAGGGGAAGGAGAGCAAATGAGGAAAAATGAGAAATCTCCCTGAAACAACCAAGTGACAAGTAGAGGGATCAACAAATGAGGACAGAGGACACACATATGGCAAACATAAGACAAAGACTATTTCATCAACCAGAATTCCTCTCAGGCAACACACACACAGATTCCTTTAGGAACATGAGGCCTTCATTCTCTTCCAAGCATGTCAGGCACAACCAAAACCTGTCACTAACGTTCAAGTGAACAAACTGAGTAGAGGGCCTTTTCTTTTGCTAAACAGTGGTGGCTAAAGGAAACCAAGTTGAGAACAGTATCCAGCTGGTGCATGCCTATCATGCCCAAAGCCCTGAGTTGGATCTCCAGCACACAAGAACTGGGTATGGTGGTGCACACTCTGGAGGCAGGAGGTTCAGATGTCCAAGGCCATCCTCAGCTACAAATGGAGTCTGTGGTCAGTCTGGGCTATCTGAGACATGTCTTAAAAGGAAAAAGAAGAGAGAAAGAAAGGAAAAAAGAAAGAAACTGTGCTGAACTTGGGTGGAAGGATTTGGTTATCTGAGAAAACCAAAAGCCAAAACAGTAACAGCCCAAACTGATGGAGCCCAAAAAGGGCTGGCGTGTTGGACCGTGTCTTTAATCCTACCATGAGGAGGCAGAGGCAAGTGAATCTCCAATTTCAAGATCAGCTTGGTCTACACAGCAAATTTCAGGCCAGCCAAGGCCACACGGAGGGACCCTGTCTCAAATAGAACAAAGCAAACCCCACACCACCCGTTTCAACATGGAGGGACTTCTGAGGATACTGTCTAACTGGAGGGACAGTGCAAATCTTCACCTCTGTGGCACGCTCACCTGCTCCTTACTGCTCTTGGGTGTTTTGTGCAAGCTTCCTTTAAGGAGTCTGAGGAGTGCTGATGTCTTTTTCAGACCAGGTTTTCACTTGGCTTTTTAACTTTTATTGTAATTATTCAATCACATTATAAATGGGGTTTATAAGGTGCTGTATATGAGAACGGGAAGGGGTGGATTTAGAAGTAAACTACAGCAACATAGAAACCAGAAGTTAAAGCGGTGGGTGATGCCCTGGTCATGTGAGAAAGATGGCGTGAGCACAGCTCACTTTGAGCCTGAGCAAAACATCAGTAAATTGTGAGGCCACACCCCAGGGAGCCAGAGAGCCTCCCCTGCCAGACTCTGGCCCAGCAAGCTACCTGTAGAGCTGGGAAATGGAGTGGTCACCCTTTTCTCAAGGCAGGTGTATCCACCGAGAACTGCTTTCAGGGCACAGAACAAGCTGCTCTGTAGGACTGGGCCGTGATGAGTTACATTTGCAAAGATATGGTTTAAATTCTTTATATTCAAATCTAGGTGGTGACTGGTAAGGAAAAAAGGGTTTAAAAGTAATGAATCAGCCTGTACACAGTACAGTGGCTAACAGAACAGTGGTCAATAGTCTTAGCTCTAGGCTTAAAACAATCATGGGTAAATCACCTAACATTCCCTGCCCTGCAAAATCATTCATCTTTAATGGCTCCAGAACACTTCATTGAAGAAACTTTCAAAACTCTGTAATTTACTAAAAGTCACTCAACTGAACAGTTAACACTGTGAACCCTATGGTATGTAAGTTGAAATAAACAAAGGTGTGCCCACACCATAGTCACATCATGAGAAATAAATGTACGTTAACGGCACACTGCTAGGCACATAGTTAATAATAAACACTGATGATCAGAAGCCTGGTGGCACACAAGAGTTAGTAATCCCAACTACTTAGGGAGCTGAGGCAGGAGGATCACAAATCTGAGGTCTGTCGGGGCTACACAGTGAGTAAAAGATCAGCCTGGACAACTCACCAAGATTCTTTCTGTCTCTGAGGAGGGCAGGGGGAGTAGGGTTATGGCCATAGTTTAGTGATAGAGTGCTTGCCTGGCCCAAAGACTTGTTAAACCCAAGTGCTGAAAAGAGTAGTGATTAGGCTGGGCGGTGCTGGCGCACTCCTTTAATCCCAGCACTTGGGAGGCAGAGGCAGGCGGATTTCTGAGTTCGAGGCCAGCCTGGTCTACAGAGTGAGTTCCTGGACAGCCCGGGCTATACAGAGAAGCCCTGTCTCAAAAAAAAAAAAAAAGAGTAGTGATTAGTCTATTTTCTTAGAGGCTGGTTGAGACCTCGCTCTGCAGATGAGAGAACCAGACAGCAGGGACTGAAGGGCCTTCCTGAAGGGCCTTCTCAGAAGAAAGCCCAGGCTCCTAGGTTTTCCTTAGTGCCATTGCTGTTCCCATTACCTACCCCAAACATGAAAACATGAGAAATGGAGAACACAGAAGACATGTAGAGATGTTGAAAAAAGAATTCTATGACCATCTGACAAGCCAAAGAAGCTGTCACAGTTCATCTATTACCCAGAGGCCCCAGCTGGGTGGTCATAAGAGCTCAAATGTTGGAAGGGCCGGGCCTGGTTAGCCAGGTTATCCAGCTCACCACTGTGGCCAGCAGTCTGGCAGTGAAAGGCCACAGGATCCCACCTACTACTTTCTGACAGGAAGGCTCCGACAGCAGGAGCTGGGACCAAGGGCATGCGGCAGGTGCCTGGGCAGTCTGCACACAGCACTGAAGCAAGGACAGCAGCTAACAAGCCTCTTCCGACCACACTCAGTAGCCTGGCTTCCACTGTTTCTCCATCCTCCTCTGGGTTTTCAGACTTTTGGTTTCTGTCCTGTAAACTGTTTCCTTTTCATAGAAACCTCATCAGATAAATAAGAAACCCCTCGGAGGTGTGAAAAGATGCAAGCTTTTTCATTATGTTCATTATGGCTGGAAGATTTTGAGGCTTAAAAAAAGAAATGGAGGGAAAGAGTAACTGAAGTATTCCAAAGCTAAGCCGTGGACAGGATAGGTTATAACTTTCTAACGTCTCAGAAGACACTGAGTCAACTCTCTGGTTCTTAGGAATGGTGAATCCTGTCCCCACTTTTCATAAAGAACAACAACAATTTAGACTAGACACATGTACAGACCCCTGTGGAGACAGAAAGGAAGAAGGAAAGGCCAGAGGAGGATTAAGACCTGAAACAACTTTTATGATTTAATTTAGTACACTGAAATTTCTCAATAAATAGTTCATAAAACTGCCTCGTCACTTTCAGCCGATGACTGACACACTCTCAGAGGATGGGCAGAGGAGGCCCTGTCCCTTCATCTGATCCTAGGGCCTGGGTACAGAGCAGTGGAGAGAGAAGTCTATCTCCAGCCTCCCTACACCACCTTCCTGTTTTGCAGATCACTCACTACAGTGAACACTCTGGTGCCGGAGGAGGTGGGAGCTCCGACTAAAGGTCTTCTGGCACTCTTGGCACTCGTATGGCTTTTCCCCAGTGTGAATTCTCTGGTGGATGGTGAGCTGGGAGTGCTGGCTGAATGTCTTCTCACAGTCGCCACACTCATAAGGTTTCTCTCCAATGTGAATCTTCTGGTGAAGCAGCAGCTCAGAATTATCCCAGAAGGTTCTTGCACACTCATTACACTGATGGGGTTTCTCTCCGGTATGTATTCTCTGGTGGACAATCAGATGAGAGGTCCGCCTGAACGCCTTCCCACACTCAAAGCATTCATAGGGTTTCTCCCCAGTGTGAATTCTCTCATGTCTCAGGAGCTCCGAGTTACCCCTGAAGGCCTTCCCACATTCTTTGCACACATAGGGCTTCTCCCCAGTATGAATTCTGATATGTCTAATAATCTCTGAGTTCTGGCCAAAAGTTTTCCCACATTCACTGCATTCATAGGGCTTGTCCCCTGTGTGGATTCTTTGATGGCGGATAAGCTCTGAACTCTGACCAAAGCCTTTCCCACATTCATTACACAGATAGGGCTTTTCTCCTGTGTGGATCTTCTGATGTCTGATGAGGCCGGAGCTGTGCTTGAAGGCTTTGCCACACTCACTGCACTCGTGGTATCTTTCTTCTGTGTGAATTCTCTGATGCTGGATGAGCTGTGAGCTAACCCGAAAGGTCTTCCCACACTCATTACACTCATACGGTTTCTCTCCAGTGTGGATTCTCTGGTGCAGAATAAGGGCCGAGTTCTGACTGAAGGCTTTACCGCATTCTTCACATTTATAAGGTCTTTCTCCAGTATGGATTCTGTGATGGTGGATCAGATGTGAGCTCTGAATGAAGGCCTTCCCACACTCAGTACAAGCAAAGGGCTTCTCTCCAGCATGAATTCTCTGGTGCCTTCGAAGGCTGGAGTTGGTCCCAAAGGTCTTTCCACACTCTTTGCATTCGAAGGGTTTTTCTCCACTATGGACTCTCATATGCTGGATGAGATGTGAGTTCTGATTAAAAGCTTTCCCACATTCTTTACATGTGTGAGGCTTCTCTCCCACAGGAGTCCCCTGTGCTTTAGTAAGCTCTATACTCTCCATGGAGTGCTGGCCAAAGGCAGCGCATGCGCTGTCCCTCTTGGCTGTAGCACCTCCATGACACATCAGGACACTCAGGTTAGGACTGAAGCCTCTTGGACTCTTACTGTCTTTCTGGTCTTCTTCACCTAAGGATGACTTCTTGAAGATAATTAACCCTGATGCAAAATCTCTCTCCTGAGGATACATCTGTTCTATAATCTCTTTCGAGGACTCTCTCAAATGTCCCTCTAATATGTCTTCCTCACTTGCTGCTCCAAACTCATGGCCTTGGTAAACCTCCTGGGCAAGTTTTTCTAATGTTGGCCCACGTGGCTCAGAGTCCTCAGAAATTTCTTCCTTGGGAAGCACCTCCTTTTTCTCAGTCCCCATATCACAGCCTGAAACGAGAGAGGGTGCTCATGTGAGGTTGCTGTGTCCTATCTAAATGACATTGCAGGTGGACACAGGGCCTGGACATGGCACTGGTAAGACTCGGGACAGCCCCACCAATGAGGCAATGACAAACTGCTGCTGTCAGCATGGTAGATACTGACTTAAAGGAGTGAGAAAAAACCATCAGAGGCAGAACATCTGACAGCAACAGGAAGGGTGTGGTGCAGAGATACTGGCAAGAGTTGTGTGACACTGACAGAGTTACAGGAGAATTCAAAGTGATAAAGAAAGCACTTCAGGGAATTAATTGCCATATTAACAAAGGGTATATGAAAAGGATTAGGAAAAACCAAAGTGATGAGTTAACAGAGATAATGTTTGAGCATAAGATGAAAGAGCCACACAGTGTTTGGCAAGAGGTATTCTTATTTGTATTACCCAATAGCCCAATAGAACAGTGCACAGCGTAGGGGTTACCTACTCAAAGGGTTGACAAGGTAGCCTATAATCAGCATGAGAGTAACTTTTGAGCCCCTTACTTCCAGGTAAGGTGAGGGTAAGTTTGCTGGACTACACTAGCGTTCTGACTACCCAAAGAGCCATTTCAGGATTAGCTCGACAGTGTTTGCCAGCTGAGCAAAGGCCAGGCTCACTTCCTTGTCATTTGGAACTCATTTCTGTGGCAGGGATAGTAAAATTCCCAGGACTATTGTATTAGTTAGAAGTAGGCTTGGCTTCATATAATAATGTATGTATACTTAAAAAAAAAAACAGAGCCTCATTATGTCCAATCAAGGCTCAAACTCAGGATTTTCCTACTTCTGCCTCAAGATTATAGACACTATGTCTGAATATAATTTATTTTTTGAAACAGGGTTTCTCTGTTTAGTCCTGGCTATCCTGGAACTCACTATGTAGACCAGGCTAGTTTTGAACTCAGAGCCCCTGCCTCCTGAGTGATGGGATTAGAGGCATGTACCAACATACCTGGCAATAAGATTTTTTAAAGAATCATGCCTTAGCCAAGGCATTAACTTATTTCTGTATTGCATAAAAGAAGTCCAGAGGCAGGCATTCTGTGGTTGGTATGACAGAGTAGTGAAGGCCTCTGGCTCTTTCCAGCTCAGATTCCCAGTTTAAGAGTATGCTGGTGCATTCATAATCAAAGGTGACGCTCAAGTACCACATCATGCCCCAGGAACAGATAAGCAATAGTATCACGTGCTTTCCTTCGCCTATCACTATCTCACTGGCCAGAGTTTGGTCAAATGACTGAATGTGTAAAGGAAGATAAGGCCCCCTCCCCCCCCACACACACACTAAATAAATTCAAAGGTGACCCTCATGGCGAATAAGCAGGGCAAAGAACTTCATCCTTAAAAACAGTAGATTTGGCTGAGTGGTGGTGCACATCTTTAATCCCAGCATGTGGGAGGCAGAGTCAGGGGAATATCTGTGAGTTCAAGGCCAACCCGATCTACAGAGTGAGTTCCAGGACAGCCAGGGCTACATACAGAGAAACCCTGTTTGTAACTGCCCCACCCAGTAAAAATCTTAAAAAAAAAAAAAAAAGTAGACTTGTAGAATGATTTGAGGCTGAGGGGTAGTATAGCTTCTGTCCAAATCAGAGTATCAGGTAGAGGTATACAAGTGGCCATTTAGATGAACTAGAATCAGCAGACATGATGGTTACAGGGCTAGAGTAGTCATCCAGGCTAAAAGAAATGAGGTCGAGGCCAGAAGTGGCAGTGGGAATGAAGAGGAAATAGACAGGAGGAATATTTAAAAGGTCAAATTCCATAATCCACTTAGTGTGTGGTAACAAAGTGTAAAGAAGAACCAAGCTGGAAAGATGGCTCAGTGCTTAAGAACACTGGCTGTTGTTCTTGCAACGGGCCCAGAGTCAGTCCCCAGCACCACAGGATGGTTCACAACTGTCTATAACTCCAGTTCTGAGGCATCTGATGCCCTCTTCTGGTTTCCTTGGGCACCATCATGCACAAGATACACATATATGCATGCAGGTAGCCATTCATAGTTGTAAAACATTTTTAAAATATATAAACAAAAAACAAAAAAAATCCAAGAGGGTAGGAATCAAAGAACGTGTCGGATTACATTAATCTGAGGGATGGTAATGAGATGGATAATGATGTCCCAAGATTTGGAATACTGAAGGGAGAGCTAGTCTAGTTTAAGCAGGAAGGTGGTAAATGAACTGTTTTGGACAAGACGGGTTTTGAGATATCCATATAGAGTCCATTTTCAGACTGATCTAAAAGCTTAAAATAGTCACTATTCGATACAGATTTGAGAGGACTAAGCATGAGTGTAATGTGAGAATCATCAGACATGGAGACAGAACTCTAGGATCCAAAATTAATGGTGAGAACGATGCCCTATCAATTCCTCCTCCCTCACCCCTTCAACATCTTTCTACCTCTCTTTCTACCTGCTTTTTGGCTAAGAACATTAGCTTGTACGGCACATAACAGGCTAACAGGTCCTCTGGCTTCCAGATGAGTCCCAATAGAAGACCAGAGAGAGGTGGTCCGAGGTGCTCCCGAATCCTTCCTGTGATGTGATACTGCCGTGGGCTGTTGCTGCCCCTCAATTAAAAGTCCTCTCGGAGTCTATCCTACCTAATTCTTCAACATTTTGCTCAGTCCTATCACATAAAAGTACCCTCTCGGCAACTAAAATTAACCTGAGTAGATTATATACTTCTTATTCATTGTCTGTGAATGAAGAGGTAGGTGGAGAAATCTGCCACCAAGAGAAAAAATGGTTAGTTAAGAGCCACAATAGTGTCACAGAAGTCACCAAGGTTGTGAAGGGGAACCGAAAAGCATCTCATGTTACCAGGTATGGTGAGATATGCCAGGAATCCCAGTTACTCTGAAAGCTGTAGAGGACTGTGAATTAGGGGCCAGCCTGGACAACTTAACAAGACCCACGCCCCCTCATTTAAAAACAAACAAACAACAACAACAAATACCCCTGGGAATGCAGCCCAGTGATATAACATTTACCAGGGCACAAAAGGCCCCAGAATGAGTTCAGTAATTTACAAACAAGAAGCTGTGTACTGGGACAATGAAGGAGCCACAGATGAAACAGAAGCATAGTGTGTAAATATATTTTTTTATTCTCCTGATGCAACTGTCATCTCTGAGGCTTACTGTTTCAGTCTCCTACCTTAGGCCTAGTCCTGGAAGCTTCTACCCTCCATATAATCTTATCTAGGCCTAGAATGTTTTCAGTTTCTGAGACTTACTGCTGAGTAAGCTCGCCCTTTCTAGTTCTCTCTGAGCTCTGGCTGGTTTAACCCAGCTCTTCTGATCAAACTCCTCTCCGAGCTGATCGATCTGATTTCTCTCTCAGCCTCTCACTGATTTGCTCTATTTAGCCTCATACTAACTTTGTCAATGTGTTCTAATCCTTTGGCTCCTTCTTATTCTCTGGCTTGTTCTGTCTTCTCTGTCTGTGTCCAGCTTGTTCTCTCTCTCTCTGCAACCAGTGTCTCTGTAACTGTCCAGGTAAAACTGCCTTCTTTTTATCTGCATTATCCCTCAAGTAGCTTCCCTTTCCTCTCTCTTCTCGTGAGAGTTGGGCATATCATATTCTGACAAATCTTTCTCTGATTAATCACTTTGTCACTCAATCAGACATCACTTCAAACATGGGTGCTTCCTTCTACAAACTAACTCTACCTTCATAGTTTGGGATTAAATGTATGTTCTAAGGGTTTGTTTGTATTCCTGCCAGAGGGATTAAAGGTGGGTGCTAAGGGCTGAGCACTCACTAGAAACAGGGTTTTTTTTTTTTTCCAGCAAATAACACAATCTTGGGGTTCACAGTTGTCATCAAATATCTTGCAACACTAGTGACGGTGACTGAGAAGTCAATTTGCTGCAATATGACGGGGTTATAAGGTCATGGATTTTCTCTGGTTTAAATATGTTCATATTAGATTTAAATGTTTGTTCATATTAGAAGGGGAGTATGAGTAGAAAGACAGTGCTTAAAGAGCAAGAAAACACAGGAACAGTGAAGAAATAAGAGCCCAAGAGACAGGAGAGACTGGAGGATGAGCCACATGCTGAGAGAAGGAAGTGACTTTGCAGGTGACCTTTGCTCTGACCTTTTCTCTGTCTAGCTTCCTAATTAGCCACAAGAGGTTGGAGGCCACCACCCTACCTGGGGAGATGCCTACCACAGGAATGTCATCTCTACTGGAACCTGAAGCCTAGGAAGCTCTCTGTTAACTCCCTCTAGGTGAGCTAGAGGCCCCCAGCATCTTCTCATATTTTCCCACAGAGCAAGGAAAGACCTCAAATCTAGATTTCTCCTTTTTTTTTTTTCTTTGTCAAAATTTGTGTAAGGATACATGATGGAGCTGTGACTATCCTTTTTTGGAAGTATGTAAGTCTGGCTGGCCTAGAACTCACAAGATGGCTTTAAATTTACAGAGATCTGCCTGTCTGCCTCCAGAGCACTGAGGTTAAAGGCACACGCCACCATGCTGAGCTGTTGCTATCTTCTCTATCCACAGCACCGTTTCATTTGGGAAAAACTGTCTGGAATAAATTCCCTCACAGTGTCTTTAATCACTTAAGAGGATGAGGCAGAAGATCATGAAGTGAAGCCAGTCTGGATTACCTACAGGATGCTGTGTAAAATAAAAATAGAAAAGAATTATTTATTTCCACAAGTGAATGTCAAATACCCAGCGAAGAACAGTTTTCAGGAGCGGGTGTTTCAGCATCTATGTATTTCCCACCTCCCTCTGGGCTTCCTCTTCAAATCTTCATGTCTTCTACAGTTGCTTATCTCATAGTTTTGGTCTTGATGGATTTTTTTCACCCTCAGAGTTCTAAAGATTAAACCCAAGACTCAACCACTAAGCTGTACTTCCAACCCTTCCTCTTTTGTTTTTTTTGTTTTTTTGTTTTTTTTTTTTTTGAGGCAGGGTCTCAGTATATAGTCCCAACTGGCCTAGAACTCTGTATGTAGACCAGGCTAGCCTGGAACTCATAAAGGTCTACCTGCCTCTGCCTCTCAAGTATTGGTATTAAATGCATGTGTCATCATACACTGTTTATTTCTTATTTTATTTGAGACAGGCTCTCACTAAGTTTCCAAAGCTGGCCTCCAACTCACAGTGCTGCTGCTTCAGCCCTCAGTGTACCTGGGATTACACACCTGGATCACCACCTTCTAGGGTTTGTTTTGTTTTAAAGGAAGTCAGCATTTGGAAAATCTACAGCTGTACAACAAGATATGGAAAAATCAGAGTAAAACAAGACAGAATAAAAGCTAGATATGGGAGCGGGGTGTGGTACCCCATATGGGTAATCCTAGAACTCAGGAGGCTAAGGCAGACAAATTTGAGGCTAGCCTGGGCTACAATGAGCCCCTACCACAAACAAACAAAACTAACACTATTACATTTACTTTGAATTCTGCCAGTGACACAATAAAAGCATTAGTTCTAGGTGCCTTCTCACAAAGAAATCAGAGTCACTCTCCACTTAGTTTTCTCAGAAACAAAGACACACGTGAACCCTCATTCTCTACAGAAAAGCCCCAGAGCCTAAATGTACATTCCAAAACATTTTCTATCTTTGTCTCTCGTCTCTTAATCTATAATCTACAGGGAGCTATATCCCTGAAGAGGGAGACTACCATCTGAAGAGAGGGCTGAACATAGTTGGTTTGCATGTTGAGGGATGACAGGCAGACCTCCACCGGGTCTTTACAGCTTAGAACAGGGTCCTCAACTCTGCAAACCTAACTTGTCTTTGCAATGCACTGTAGGAGAAAAGTCTCAGAAATCTCATTCAGAAAGTCCTGACCGCACACCTATTAACGAACAGCAACTAATGAAAACTGCATATTTTTGAGCTAGGGTGAGCCGAATTCCATTACTCATCTGGCACGAGGCCCACCTCCTCCGGAAGTCCTCACAAACATCTGCAGGAAGGAGCCCTCGGTCCTGTGAAGCTAGTTTTCCCCCAGCCCCTTTCTCACCTTTCCTTAACTAGTTTCCACTAGTTACTTCCTGTTTGTTACTCTCTTAGAGGCCTCCAGAATGTGTACTTCCTATGGCTCACAATGCTCTCCTAATCAAGCCTGTTTCCTTTCCCTACATCCTACCTCACATTCTCCAACAACTGGCAGCTGCAGGTGTGCCCCGTGTCCTGCAGGCCAAGCACTGTCCATTCTTTAAAGTTTCTCTGCCTTTGGAAACAAATTATTCTCACTTCCTGGAACACTGCTGCTCACCTGTGCACTTAGCAAACATCTTCGAGATGCACCTGATATGGACAGTTCCCCTCCATCATCTGATCTGAAAGCCCCAACAAGCGTTACTTCTTCATACAGATATTATGCCACTGTATTATGTATTGCTTTTCTCAAGAGCAGTGGTTCTCAACCTTCCTAATGTCACTTTGACCCTATAATACACATGTAAAATTATTTTCATTGCTACTCCATAATTTTGCCATTATGAATGGTAATATATATATCTGTGTTTTCCAAAGGTCTTAGGTAACCCTGTAAAGGGGACATTCAACTCTCAGAGGGGTTTTACCCCACAAGTTGAGAACCACTGCTCCAGACTATGACCAAGAATGATGTTCTACTTATCTTGCTAATCTCAGTGCTTAGCACATTTCTGATACCTGGTAAATATTAAGTGAGGTTTGTGTGATATCTGAGTGACAAATCTGCAGTTGTTTTGAAGGTTAGCTAGAGATTTCATTCATTGTTGTCCCCAAAGAGACCAGAGAAGTGTCTGACATATAACTGGTATCAATTTTTTATAAAAATAAGTTGTTAGCCGGACACGGTGACACATATCTTTAATCCTAGCACGTGGGAGACAGAAGCAGATGGCTCTCTGAAAGTTTGAGGCCAACCTGAACTTCATAATGAGTTTAAGATTAGCCAGAGATACGTAGTGAGACCCTATCTCAAAAAAAAAAATCAAACTAAAACAACGACAAAAAAGTTCTTTCTCCCAAGACACTATTATTTTCCTCCTCTGGTGCCGAGGATCAAGGGAACTCTGTCAATTCTGTGCTCAATTCAGTCTCCTTTATGATGATGATTATTAATATTATGTGTAGATGTGTGTTGCTACATGAACTATAGACGTATATGCATGAATTACAGATGATATGAGGTTCCTGACTGAGTTCTGAGAACCAAACCAGGGTCCTCTGGAAGAGCAGCAAGTACTGTTGAACCTTCCCTTTACTCCCATTTCTATCATCTTTCTTTAACCTTAATAAGCCAGTGTCTTGCCTGCCAGCACTGGTCACAACATGCCACGGGGCCCTCAATTTTTGCCTGCTATTCGTTCTAACAGTACACTTAGGGAATGGAATACCAAAGTAAGAAAAAAAGCGAAAAGAAAAATAGGCATAGGTCTCAGGCATGCCCATGTCGGAGCCTGCTTCTCCAGTTTCCCTGGCTGACAAGGCCTGGAAGCAGAATTAGGATCCGTCCCTGACAGTGCCCAGGCTCCACCCTCTCCGTGTGCAAATGAGTAGGAGCCCCCGGTGCCATAAAGTCCAAGGTCACACAACAAACCCGAGTCAGGGGCGGGCCTACAGTCAGGACTCCGGCTCTAGGCCGGGAGCCCCACGCCCTCCTCCCCGGGGCATGACGGAACCAGAGAGGCCTCACCGCTGGCGGATGCCGCCCACGCTCACTCCGCTGGGCCCGGGGCGCTACGGCGCGGCGCGCACAGAACCGCAGCTGTTGTCTGGTGTCACGGGCGACCCACACCGGCCACTTCCGGTGCCGGGCGGCACTGCGGCCAATCCGCGCGAGCCGCACTCGCGGGAGGAACAGGTGGTCAGCAGGCCCACGCCCCTGTGCGCGTCCCAGTTTCTGCTGCTCTCCCCTAATTCACCCCATCTTCGCCGGGCTGGGCAAGAGCCGGTCGGCTTGCTAGAATGTCCCAGTGCACCTCGCGAAACCCACGGTGTCCCGGACCACTGACGCGCAGGGTCCTCCCCGTTTCCTAGAACGGCTCTGGGAATGCACTTCCGCCCCGCAGCAGCCGCTCTGCGCGCCTCTGGCGTTGCGGTGGGCTGGGAAACTTGAAGCTCCGCAACTCTCCGCAGGGACATGTTGAGCAGCTGCGTTTGTGCCTCACCTCCCGCTTTCCAGAGTCTGTCAACCATGCGCCTAGATTTAGGGTACGCTAAAAGCGAAGGGGAGACCTGCTTTGAGGTCAGGAAGGCTTCAGGAAGTCATGCTTTGACAAAAATCTCAAGGTTGAGTGTGATTTCCGTAGCCTGTTCAGGCAATAGGAACTGCATTATTTGCTGCCTTTCCTCTCTTGAATAAATTTGGTCTTCTCTTAGCACAGCACGCGTGTGACTGTGATTATGGCGATCCTGAAATGAACAACCATGCCCAGTGAAATAGACCTCTTTGTGTGGAGAGGGGTAGGTTGAGGCAGCATCCTATTCTGCAGCTAGGACTGACCTTGAATTAATTATGTATTAATAGTTCAGGCTAGCCTTGAATTTAAGTCAATAACAAACTGATCTCTAAACCAGCAACATTGATATCACTTGGGAATTGGCTAGAAACGTAAATTCTCAGGCCCCACCTCCACATCTCCTGAATCAGAGACTTCTGGGATCAAAATACAGCAATCTGTGTGCTGAGGCCCTTCAGTGTTCTTCCCTTGCACTCTAAAGCTTTATTTGTGCAGCCCTACTATGTGACTTAGGAAAAAATGAATGCATTATCTCTTCCTGGATATTCCCCTGCTCACCATCTGTTTTACTATACTAATTAAGGTTGGAGCAACGGGGCTCTTTTAGGGGACGGTGACCAGGACGTATGATTCAGATGCAGTTCCTGTCTTCATTGTGCATGATGAGGATGTGTTTAGGGGAGCAGAGGTTAGTGTTTCGCGGTCTACCCATGAGACAGTATAGACATAACAACAGAGTAACATGGGAATGGAAAGAAGCCGCTTATCCTGGCATCGAGTTGGACTTGACCCAGAAAGTTGTCTACAAAGAGTGTGTGTTTCCTTTTTTTTTTTTTTCTTTTGGTTTTTTGAGACAAGGTTTGTCTGTGTATCCCTGGCTGCCCTGGAACTCACTCTGTAGACCAGGCTGGCCTCGAACTCAGAAATCCACCTGCCTCTGCCTCCCAAGTGCTGGGATTAAAGGCCTGTGCCATCACTGCCCGGCTTCTTAAGGAATTTTTTTAAAGCAGTTTTTTAAGGTTTGTTTATTATGTATACAGCTTTCTGCCTGCATGTATCCATGCAGATCAGAAGAGGGCATCAGAACCTATTACAGAGAGTTATGAGCCATCAGGTGGGTGCTGGAAATTGAACTCAGGACCTCTGGAAAAGCAGACAGTGCTCTTAAACTTTGAGCCATTTCTCCAGCCCCGAGTGTGTGTTTCCTAAAGACTCTCAAACAAGTATATTAAAACCAACAAAAGCCGGGCAATGGTGGCACACGCCTTTTATCCCAGCACTTGGGAGGCAGAGGCAGGCGGGTTTCTGAGTTCTGAGGCCAGCCTGGTCTACAGAGTGAGTTCCAGGACAGCCAGAACTACACAGAGAAAGCCTGTCTCAAAAACAAACAAACAAAAACAAAAAAACATAAAAACAACAAAAGAGGGAGGCAGATGGAGAGACGGCTCAGCTGTTAAGAGCACTGACTGCTCTTCCAGAGGTCCTGAGTTAAATCCCCAGCAACCACATAGTGCCTCACAACCATCTATAATGGGATCTGATACCTTGTCTGTCTTGAAGGCTTACATGAAAACAGAGTACTCATATACATAAATAAATCCTTTAAAACCGACAACAACAGAAGAGTAGGAAAGCTGGCTCCATGCTTAAGAGTGCACACTGCCCCTGCAGAGGACCCAAGTTTGGTTCCCAGCACCCACATCGGGTGACTCAGCACCTGTAACTCCAGCTCCAGGGGAACTGAAAGAGGGAACTGGATCCCATTACATATGGTTGTGAGCTCTTCTGGCCTCCATGGGTGCTACACTCCTGTGCACAAACACATTTAGATGTGCACCTACAAAGATAAAATCTTAGTGGATTGGAGAGATGGCTCAGCAGTTAAAGAACTTGCTACTCTTTTTGTTTGTTGGTTGGTTTTGTTTTGTTTTGTTTTTGTTTTTTTTTTTTAGTTTTTCAAGACAGGGTTTCTCTGTGTAGCCCTGGCTGTCCTGGAACTCACTCTGTAGACCAGGCTAGCCTCGAACTCTCAAACTCAGAAATCCGCCTGCCTCTGCCTCCTAAGTGCTGGGATTAAAGGGGTGTGCCACCACTGCCTGGCAGAACTTGCTACTCTTACAGAGGGTCTGATTTGGTTCCCAGCACCTGGTGGTCTACAACTGTCCCTAACTCCAGTTCCAGAGGCTCTGGCAACTTCTCTGACCTCTCTAGGCATTGCATGTACACTGTGCTCTTAACAAATATTCAAACAAAACACAAATATACATTTAAAAAAGAGGGGACAGTCAAGAACACTAGCTGCTCCTCCAAAGGATCAGAGTTCAATTCCCAGCAACCACATGGTGGCTCACAACCATCTGTAATGGGATCTGATGCCCTTTTCTGGTGTGTCTGAAGACAGTAACAGTGTACTCATATACATAAAATAAATAAATCTTAAAAAAAAAATAAAATATATTTATTGTTGTTAAATTCTATGTATGTGTGATTGGGTCTGTGCATGCACCTACACATGAGGGCAGGCACCAGAACAGGCCAGAGCCATTGGAGCCTTCTGAAGCTAGAGGTACAGCATTTAGTTTTTAAACTTTACTTAAATCTTAAGCTTTGCTAAATCTTTAAACCTTATTTGCCAGAAGTGGTAATACATTCCTTTAATCCCCAAACTCAGGAGAGAGAGGAAAAGGACATCTTGAGTTTGAGGCTAGTCCAATCTATGTAGGGAGTTCCAGGAGAGAAATACACAGTGAGTGAGACCTTATTTCAAAAAAAAAAAAAATCCACCTTATTACAAGCTACATCCTTTGAAGATTGTAACTTAGGACCATAAATGTACCTCCAAGGACACCTAAGTGTAGCTCTCCCTTGAGAAGCCTTGGGGTCGCACACTGTCCTCTCTCCTGGCAACTATTTCTGTGTTAGTTTGTTTTCTGCTGCTGTGATAAAACAGCATGACCAAAAGCAATATGATAAGGACAGAGTTTATGTGGCTTATTCATCTCAATCACAGGCCACAGTGAAAGAAGCCAGAGTAGGAGCTCAAGGAAGAACCTGGAGGCAGGAACTGCAGCAGAGGCCATGGAGGAGCGCTGCTCACTGCCTTTGTAGATTCATATTTAGCTAAGTCATCTATACAACCCAGGACCACCAGCCTGGGGTGGCACCACCCACAGTGACCTGGGTCCCCTCACATCAATCACTAACCAAGAAAATGTCCCACAGACTTGTGTGCAGGCCAATCCAATGGAAGCATCCTCTTGATTGAAGTCTCCTCTACTCAGCTGACCCTGGCTTGTGCCAAGGACAGTGTCTAAACAATGAAGCTACTCCCTCTGTTTTACACTGGATCATCCTGAAATTCTTTTCTGTGCTGAAGTCATGATTCTGGCTTCACCTGAGTAGGGGTCCCTAAGGAAGAAAGGGACAGTGTAGGCTGCTGCTGGCTGTGCCAGGCTGTGTCTCTCTGCAGCTGCTGACACTAGCAGACTCAGGATCCCTACAGAATCGAGTTTATAGGTAAGGGTGAACAGTTTTATTCTTGAAAAATAAAATTGTAGGACTAAAATCTTGAGCATACTTCTAGATTCTCAGAGTGACAGGTACAAAATAAAATAATAAAATATCAACTGCTTTGCTCCCTGTTTCCCTTCTTACCTGTGAAACATCTGGGACAGCTTCAGGCCCAGGCTGCCTATCTTGGTTTTGTAGATTAGATCTATGCAGTTTAGGCTAGCCTAGAGCTGCTGGTTCTACTGCAGCAGCTGACAGTGCAGGGATTACAGCTGTGGCCACCACACCTAGCTCCTCATGTTTTAAAATCACATTTCTCAAATTAGTTTACAACTGTTTCAGATTTAGTGCTATTGTAGTTTCAGTCACCTTTGCCCCTATCCCGAGTCTTAGTTCACTTCAGTGGCCTCTCGAGCTTAAATGGCATTATTTTGGGATGCTAAAGAATGATCTTTTTTCGTTGGTTTTTTTTTTTTTTTTGAGACAGGGTTTCTCTATGTAGTTCTGGCTGTCCTAGAACTCACTCTGTAGACCAGGCTGGCCTCAAACTCAGAAATCCACCTGCCTCTGCTTCCCAAGTGCTGGGATTAAAGATGTGTGCCACCACCGCCCGGCTAAAAGAATGATCTTAAGGTTTGAACGGCCTCTGGTTGTTTGCCACTTCTTCTGTCACAGGCACATAGCCAAGGATAGGGATGTTCTATCTAACAGAAGGAGGCAGCTCTCTCTTCTTGTTCGCTACTCTCTTGATCCCATCACCTGTACACACTTCTTGTCCTTGTCCATCTAATGTCTCCATATTCTGCATTTCTCCTATCAGCTAGGCTGACTTCAGAATAGCCTCCACTCCCAACATTACATGATGCAACACAAAATGCATCTTGCTTTAAGTGATGTGACTATCTCCTAAGGACAGATAGCACCAAGACAACAAGCAGTTTTCCTTGAGCACCTCTCTCTGTATAACTGTCACCCAGATTCCTCCAGGGCCATTGGCAGGGTTGGATCCTAATGTGTTGAATGTAACACTCCTGTCTCATTCTTGCACACTAAGGCAACTGCAGGTGCTGCTGAATCAGGCTTAACTGAGACTTTGGTACCCAACCCCACCTCCAGCTGTGAAGATGTAAAGAATGTACCCAAAGGGCAATTCATTGTCCAGGCTTAACTGTCATACCAGGGAGACCAGAGGGACCAGTTCTGAGCCTCACCCAAAAAATTCATGTCTTTCCCGTGCTTAGATAACCAGGTCCTCTGGCTTGAGAGGTAGTGTGAAGGAATGTCCCTTGTCATCCAGGTACACTGTGCCCGTGGCTTACAGATAGGACCAGGGCCACTCCAGCTGCGAGGAGTTGGAACCACCTAGGAACAGCAGTTCTTTCTTCTCTTCTTTATTCCAAACACAGTCATATTGGGAAGTAGGCCTTCACCATACAGACCCGACAGAGAGGATGACCAGTTGAGTTCACAACACCATGCCTTATCTACCTCAATTAAATTCTAATTTAATTGAGACAGGAACAGGCGATGGTCCTTTTTTCACTAGTACTTTAAATTTTTTATTTATCTTGTATGCATGAATGTTTTGCCTGCATGTATGTTTGTATCTGCATCATGTGTATCCAGAAGCAG